TAAAGAGCAGAAAATTTTTTTTTAAATAAAATGTTATTTACTTTTACACAATTTAAACTACTGCACGCACGACGTTGCCAAACTTACATCAATGAAAGAAAGAAATAAAGAAAGAAGAAATAAAGAAATCCCGGGAAGGTCCACATTAATATCAACATTTCGATGCAAGTACATAAATAACTCTACCTAATACCGACCTCTGCTTATAATGTTTTATACATAGAATTTTACTTATTGTCATATTTATTAAATATTACATTCATAATGCTATGTCTTGATACAAACATATTTAAAAGATTCGAATTTCATGTGTTCCGATTGCGAATGGATATATTGTGTAAAAATATTATATATCTTTTATCTCTTATCGGGTAAAAACTTTTGAAAAAAATTAATCTGATCACAAAAACGTGAAAAAGAATACTTATATTAAAAGCTTATAGCTTATATTAAAAAATTCATCAATGGAAGGCGGTTAAGATAAAAAAATTAAAAAAAGCAAAAATGTAATCTTTGTTTTCCTCGATGTATTCGTAGTAATATTTTTATTTGGCAGAAAGTTCTCAGTAAATTTGTTGCAAAAACAAAACTAACAATCCGATTTTGATAAAATTTATATAAACCTCGGGCTTTAGCGCTTCCGAATAAAATATGAATTCTGAAAATCAAATGAAATATGAATTTGGAATTCGCAGATGAATCTGTGAATAAAACATACATGTACAATGAACATAAAACCTCTTTAGTTTTGAATTTAAAGCTTTTTAAAAAGAGAAAAACAATAAAAGATAACACGATTATTGTTCGACTACTTAGTATTTGAGATGGCTGAGTCGGGGTCAAGATCACACCTGGGTATACGCAACCCATTTACGGGTCACGATCACCGGGGCACGGCATATTTGGGTCATGACCAACCCGGGTGGCCCGGTTTTGGGTCACGATCACTCACCCTCGGGTGCCGGAAGTACGGAGCGCGTATTCCTTTTTACTTTTATATGACATTGAATCTTTTCTTATGCTGTTTGTACATTGGTTCTCTTTGAGGGTTAGACACGCTTCCATCTGATAAGGGTTTAGTAGAGATTTAGATGTAACAAAGATAAATCAAGTCAAGTTTGACAAGCTTTTGGATTTACATTCAAAATTATTATCTCTATTTCACATAAATTACAAGTGAAATGTAAGAAAAATTGATATAAGAAAAAAAAATCTTTACCAATTTATAACTTGTATTATATTTTCTATTTTCAGCGAATAATCACGTTCCTCGCGTTCTTTCCGCAATGCGGAAATTAAGCAACTGTCATAAGGACCGATTATAAGATCGTTGACCAAAAACTTTATATCTCGACCTCCTCCATGTTTCAGAAGGTACCTGAAGCTTGTTACCTTAAGCCGACTACGTTTGCAGTGGTTAACACGCATCAATCCACACTGGACTCACGTGGAGAGCCCATGCTCCGTATTTTATTTAATACGAATAAATTATCATATTAGGATAAAGAAGATGAAGGGCTTTCTCCATTTTACTTCTGATTATTCTGCCTGTTATGCTAATTATCTCAACCAATCCAATGCGCAGAGGCGTGAGACAGGGAGATGTAATTTCTCTGAAACTGTTCACGAATGCATTGGAGGACGTCTTCAAGTTTGTGGAATGGGATGAATACGGCACCAACATCAATGGCGAATACATCACTCACCTTCGTTTCGCCGATGATATAGTCATCTTGGCAAGATCGATGGAGCACATCAGTACAATGCTCAACGACCTGAGTATCGTTTCCAAACAGGTGGGTCTTAATATGAACATGAACAAGACGAAAATCATGTGGAATGTCCATGTTGCACCCGTACCGGTGGTCATTGGAACTGATACTCTCGAAGTTGTCGATCACTACGTGTACCTTGGACAGACAATCCAGTTAGGTAGATTCAATTTCGACAAAGAGGTCGCTCGAAGCATTCAACTCGGCTGGGCAAATTACCACAGTGCCTAAAGACGAAGGTGTATAACCCGTGTGTGTTGCCAGTGATGACCTATGGCACTGAAACGTGGTCCTTAACTGCTGGCCTCTTAGAGAAGATCAGAGTCGCTCAGCGAGGCATGGAGAGAGCTATGTTAGGGGTTTCTTTGCGCGATAGGATCCGAAACGTGGATATTCGCGAAAGAACTAGAGTGACCGACATAGCTCGCAAATTTTGTAAGCTGAAGTGGCAGTGGGCAGGCCACATCGCTCGACGAACCGATAACCGATGGGGACGAAAGGTTCTCGAGTGGAGACCACGAACCAGAAGACGCAGCGTGGGTCGACCCCCGACTAGATGGACGGACGACATCATCCGAGTCGCGGGCGGGCGCTGGATGCAGCTGGCGCAATGTCGTCCGTCGTGGCGTTCAAAGGGTAGGCCTATGTTCAGCAGTGATGATGATGATGATGAGGTGTGTAGCTAACGGGCCATCACTGTGAACCAAGTTTTGTTATATTTTTTTTTATAAATACTCGTATTTTCTTTCTAATTCTTAAAAATCTGGAGAAGATTACTAGAAGAATTGAAAAATATAGGTTGCTTTAATTTTAATTTCGATTTAGGTCAATTATAGATTAAAGACTTACACAACTGATAATAAAATAACATATTATCATCTGTTATTTAAATGTTATTATTATTTTAAATTAATGTAGTGTTATTCTATATCCAAAGGTAAGGTCCTAAGTCCGTGGATGCCTAAACTTCTTCAGTTAGATTTACACGAATCCTTATAATAAAAGTCGTTTGGAATTTTTTTTGCTAAAACTTTAAACGAGAGTTATAAAAGTGCAGAATCATTTAATAAAGCTCGCTTTTTATTTTTTTCGTCGTATACTCACACGAGTATCTAAAATTCCAAATAAAAGTTTAAAAAATCGGGCACGTCCTTCAATTTCGTACCGTTATAAATATATCGTAGAAACATGATCGAACAATATCGGGTACCAAAGTTATAACAATCTCGTTATATCTACAGGTGTGGGTGGTTCGTTTACTTACATTTTAACCCCGATATTTTGTACTTTTGGACCACAGTAGGACTAAAACAAAACCACTTCAGTAATTCCTTAACATTAAAATGATTATAATAATAAAGTTGGACACAGAACACTCATTGTTTCACAAAGTTAATAAAACAAACAAATTGGAAATATTGTTCTTAGTAAGAAGATAAGCTTTTGCCATTTCTTTTTTCCGATACAAGTACAGTGCTTTTAAATTATGTTAGCTTCGGAAATTCCATATTATTCAAAAACTATTTTTCAAAATGACCATATATTTTTTTTTTGTAAGGATGAGTGGCCGAAAAAGTTCTAGCTCGTTTTATTTATTTATAGGTAGCTAATTATGATGAATAAAGGCGTAATTTATGAACTTTTGCGTTAGACTTGTAGAACGTTAGTTAAGTTGGTTAAGAAAACATAAAAATGAATTACAGCACCATCTATCGGCAATCAAACAATAAGTTTCCATTCCCCTGAAGGTTACATTGATGAGGTAATAACTAGAGATGCAACGGATAGTTGTTTGGCCGGATACCGGATACCGGATATTCGGCCTGCCCACCAGCCGAATATTCGGTATCCGGCCGCCGAATATTCGGCCAGCGGTATGATACCTACATTTTGAGTTTCGTAGGTGCGTGGCGCGTGCCGCCACGCCGTGCAGGTTTTGTCTTGTTTCGTAGTGAACGTTCGCGCGGTCACAGTTCTTGGTAATAGAAACAGTTTTATCGTGTCAGTCAGTACGAAACAATTTCGTTTGTGTGCTCGCGTATTTTTAGTTAATAAAATAAGTTGGTGGTGTTATCGTGTGATAGTGGTTTTGTATTAATTAACATTTACCTACTGTGTCATTAATTAGTGTGCTTATAAAAATGGCAACAAGGAGGTCTCCACTTTGGAATTATTTTGAAATAGATAAAGAAGATGCTAAATACGATATTTGTTTAATTTGCAAACTAAAAGTTTCACGTGGCGGAGAGGGAAAGAAAGCTGGAACCTCGTGCATGAAAAACCACTTGAAAGCCAAGCATTCTGATAAGTTTAGCGAAATTTATGGTGGTTCGTCCTCATGTGTTGGACCTGCTAGTTATACGAGCTCAACTGCAAGTATTTGTGCCGCGGCCACTCAACCGTCCTTGCAAAAACAATTGACTTTAGCTGAAGTTGTTGAGCGAAAACAATATTGGGGGATAAATGATTCGAAATCGAAAGAATTTCACTATTTAATTGGCGAAATGATCGCGTTGGATAACGAACCACTATCCATTGTTGACCGAGTTGGATTTAATAGCCTCATGCAAAAAACGGTGCCGAGGTACAAGTTGCCCAGTCGCACTTATATGACTGAAAAAATAATACCGGACATATACGACCGAATTACCAAGAAAATTATGGAATTTTTTTTAAATCTGCAGCTGTTTCTATTACGTCAGATATATGGACTTGTGACCACAATAATGAAAGTTTTCTGAGCTTCACCGCCCTTTTCAGGGTCTCACACCGGAGAGAACATAGCAAACGAACTTAACATTATTGCTGCACGGTGGAATATTCCGTTAAATAAAATACACATTATTGTACATGATAGTGGGGCTAATATGGTAAAAGGAGTTCAAGTGGCTGAATACGATTCAACTAGGTGTTTTATTCACTCACTCCAGCGAGTCATTACTGAATCACTTAAAACTCAACATGATTTAGTAGAGATGCTGAATGCCTCAAGACGCATTGTAACTCATTTCAAGCATTCAGGATTAGCACAAGAAAAACTGAAGGCAATTCAAACAGAGTTAAAGTTACCAGAACATCAGTTGATTCAAGACATCAGTACACGTTGGAACTCGACGTACTATTTACAAGAGCGGCTGCTAGAACAAAGACGCGCTGTTTCTTTGTATATAACCGACCACAATAAACTCAGCAACTTGACTCTTTAATGGAATTGACTTTAATGGAGCAATGCATCATTCTCCTCAAACCCTTCGAGGAAATAACGAAAATCACGAGCTCAGGTTTATCGTGCATTTCAGAAGTTATACCGCATGTGGCGGTTTTGATGAGGTATATTCAAAAGGAAGAAACTTCACGCAAAGTTCTTAACTTATTGCAATTTCTAACGTCCCTGAAAACTCGATTACAACAACGCTTCGAAAATCTAGATAAAAATCCAAAGTATTTCCTGGCTACATTATTGGATCCCAGGTTCAAGACCAATTTTTTGGGGTAACACAAGCAGAAAAGGCTCGCCAAAGCCTCTTATTGGAGGGTCTAAAACTGAGTTGCAGTGAAGAGGATGCATCCAGCAGTGAAGGCGATTCACCTCCAATGAAGAAAAGAGCAGGCAATGGCATGAGTGTTCATGAATCATTTTGGGACTGTTTTAATGAAGTTGCCAAAGATAACAATCAAACTGAAGACTCTGATAATAGTGCTATAGCCAATGAACTTGACTTTTTCTTAAAAATGGTTCGTCTTCATCGACAAAGTGACCCTTACGCATGGTGGGCAGCAAACGCCAAACAATTTCCGATTTTGGTTAAATTTTCCCAAATATATCTCTCTTCCCCATGTAGCAGTGTGTACAGCGAGAGACTGTTTTCAGAGGCTGGGCTTATATATGAAAACAAGAGGAATCGTTTGCTTCCTAAAACTACTGAAAATCTGGTTTTTATACATCACTATTTACCTTTAGTGGATTTCCAATATTAAATTAATTAATATTACTAGTTACAAATAAGTACCTTTTTTTAATTATCAGTATTATCACCAAATTACTTTAAATAATTGATTTATTATAAAAAAGGTTAACGTTGTTTAAAATAATAAAAAGCTTCGATCACGACTGTGCCTTATTTTAGATTCCATTTATAAAATTTATCAAGTTTACTATCCGGTATCCGGCCGGATAGTACATTACCATCCGGTATCCGGCCGGATAGTAAAAAAAGGCCGGATAAGCCGGATACCGGATAGTAACCGAATATTCGGTGCATCTCTAGTAATAACGTTATTGTGTCTCGGTCTCTATATCAAAATTTGCCAGTGACGTTTGTCTATTACTTTAAGTGATAGTAACTTGATAGCACAAGGTCTGTCGAGCGTAGAAATTCGTTCGCAGTCACTAAGGCTAAGTGGAGTGTAATGACGCGAATGATTCGATATACGCTCTATTGGTATTTATTACTGCGTGTGAAGTTACATTGTATTTTCCCTTTGAATAGTTAGTTTCTTTGGTGTTATAAGTACTCGTTATTTATACATAATGGCAGTAATACATAGGGGCGAGGTATTCGTTACAGACGTGTTTATATCGTTCTCCGTTTTTTTAATGTGAATCACTGTTAATACTTGAAATTCTTTAATGAAGAAATAATTACTGTAATCTATATCACCAGGCCTACCAAACAGTGCATAATAGGAAGAATAAAGTGCAACAGTTTTTAAATAGTGAACATTTTTTATGTTCTTCAACCGCCAATTCATCAAGTAAAACTGTAGTGAGTAATGCAATTTGTACTTGTCGAGTGCGTCACGATTCGCTCACCGTCACGGTTCATTAACCTTCAGTATAAGGTGATCACAAGCGACTGCCCATTTCAAAACAACGTTCAACTCGTCCTTGGCACAGTGTGCACACTATTGGACTTGCACTAGAAGCGTTACAGTGGGAAGAAGATCAAATCCGGGTTGCAAAAGTTTTTTTTTTTTGTTATTTATTTATATATATATTTTTTTTTAACACCCAATTTTTGCATATAAATAAGAATGTCAAGTGGCGACAAGATGATATGTGGGGGATGTCGGCGTACCATAGAAGATAGACGCTTTTTATATTGCGGTGGTTGTAAACAGCTTTACGATCTTGAATGTGCAAATGTCTCAGAGCAGCGTTTCTATAATACTCTTACGAAGGAACACAGAGAGGCCTGGAGATGCGTTTTGTGCAAGAGCCGGCATCCCAAAGCTGATAACAGCAATACTCCAGTTCGAGGCGGCGCTGATGGTATCACAATTCAACGTGGAGCCGCTGTTAGGAGCCCTACACAATTAAATATGTCTATTGTGGAGCAGCCCTCTTCTCTCAACGATACTGCTCACAATATGACTATAGAAGTGAGCGACTTCCAGGCTTTTGTGATGGAGATGCGCTCGTTTAGGCAGGAGATGCTGGAAGAATTAAGATCGAACCGGTTGAAAATTGAACAGCTCGGCGAGACTGTCATCTCACTCTCGGACAAAATCATAGAATGTGAGGATCGCATCGTGATGAGGAAAATCGCATGGGCGGTGAGCAAAATGATACCTCCCTGGCAGCATCTGTCGAGAGCTTGAAGGTGGAATTGAATGATCGCGACCAAGATCTGCTTTTAAACGACGTCGAAATATCTTGTATCCAAGAACAAAGGGGCGAGGGATTGCTCCATGTGGTCACCGTTTTGGCGGGAAAACTAGGAGTAAACTTGGCAGCCCAGGACGTCGTATGTGCCACACGTGTCGGTCGTGCACCTGAATCGGGGGAGGCAGAAAAATCACTAACATCCCGCCCGCGACCCATCGTCGTTCGTCTGGCGCGTCGCGTTGTACGAGACGAGCTGCTGCAAGCGGCGCGCGTCCGTCGCGGCGCCACCACAGACGGTACAGGGCTGCCAGGAACACCACGCCGCTTTTACGTTAATGAAAGATTGACGAAGGTAAACAGGCATCTCTTCCGACGGATGCGGGAATTATGTGGTAGGTTAAACTGGCGATACGTCTGGACGAAGGATGGCCGCATATTTGTACGTCAATTTCAAGGCAGGGAGGCTCCGCGACTACGTATACGGGTGGAATCTGATCTCGTGCGGGTTTTTGGCCGGGAGGCTGTTAGTGCTACAAGTAAGAATGAACCTTTTAAGACATCTTAGTGCTTCCTATAATATTATTTTATGCTTATCGCTCCGCTTGCAATATTGCTCTTATATGTATATGCTTTTCCAATTTTAAAATTTTTGCTTTTCCTTTAATTGTTTTTTTTGTATAGCTTCTAGCCACAGTTCTATTATGCAGCTTTGTATAGCACCGAAAACTAGAAAACTCTATGTCTCTTGCATCTTGCAACTTATATTCTTACACCATGACAATAGTATAGTTATTGATTGCTTTAATGCTTGGCTTGTGAGATCCGTTTTTCGCTATGTATCTATTATTATCATATATATTATCATTTATGTCTTTCTCCAATTCCGAACTGCTCTCTCGGTTGTCCTTTGTTTGTGTTGTAGTGAAGAAAGTAATATGACAGGTTATAATAATATTACGTGCATTATTTATAAAGTTAATATTTCTCAAAATTTGGCCGCTACTTTATTAATTAATTTTATTAATGATTAAATCTACCCAATTTACTGTTGGTCTCTTTAATGCCGGTTCTTTGGGAACAGGACACGATGAGTTTATCGTCGCCGTTGAAGATATGGATCCCGATATAATAGCCATAAATGAAACCTGGATAAGGGAGGGGCAATCCGACAAGGCGCCGAAACTGGCGAATTATAAACTCTATCATAAGCCGAGGTCTGAAGGTGTTTGTGGTGGTAGAGGAGGGGGGGTGGGGTTCTATATACGTAAGGGGATAAATGGACGTATATACTCACATCCAGTCAATTCAAAAATTGAACAAATGTGGTTGAAAGTACGTCTGTACAATCTGAACATATTAATAGGAACTGCTTACCGGCCACAATGGCAGGACAAAGATATATTTCTGGATGCAATTTCTGAATCAATCACGTCTTTTTCTAAACATGATGGCATTGTTTAGGTTGGAGATTTTAACATGAATCTTCTTGATAGTCGCAGTGGTATGGCAAAATCCTTTGAACAATTCACGTTTAGCTTAAATCTTAAACAAGTAGTTACTGAGCCGACACACTTTACTCAGCATAGTCACAGCCTTATAGACATCATCTGTACCGACTTAACAACACTTAATGTGATAGTCAAACACATTCCTGAACTTGGTAGACATGCTATGCTAAGGGCGCAATTCAAGATAAAAAAGGAACATTCACCACCCCGGTGGGTATCTTATAGACCCTATGGAAATATTTTGTTGGACCAGTTTAACATGGACCTCAATTCTGTTAGCTGGGATTATTTCGTGCAGTCAAAGGATGGAGTCGATGTCCTTGTCGATAATCTCTCATCTGTTATTACCGCATTATTTGATTTACATGCACCTGTTGCAACAAAAAAATTCAAGACTCCACCTCATCCTTGGATCACGGATACTATTAAGTGTATGATGCGATTAAGAAACAGTAGACATATAAAGTATAAAAAACACAAAACCCAAGTCCACAGGGACAGCTATCTTACAATGAAGCAACTAGTAAATAAGGCCATAGAATGTGAAAAGAAAAGTTATTTTGAAAAAAATATTAATAATAATATCGGGAACTGGAAAAAGTTATGGCGCAACCTGAAAAGAAACATATTACCTAACGGGAAGGTTGAGGCAGAATTACCTCCATTTTTTGACAATCCAGATGCCATTAACAAGCACTTTCTTAATGTTCCTGGCGCTAATGATGTTTCACTTTCTAGTCTGACTTACTTCGAACATCATAGATACAGCTCAGCCACTTTTAGCCTGCAACCTGTTTGCGGGGATGTGGTACTTAAAGCAATAAGGAGACTAAAATCTAATGCTGAAGGAGACGACCATATCTCGTTGGAAATGTTGCTGCTAACCTTGCCACATTCCTTGGATGCAATCACCAACATTATAAACCGGTCCCTTGCGGAAGGCATCTTTCCAAATGGCTGGAAACGTGCAGTAATAAAGCCACTACCCAAAAAATCACAACCAATGACAATACAGGATCTCAGGCCAATCAGCCTTCTTCCTTGTATGTCAAAAATATTAGAAAGAATAGTCTGCGATCAATTGACCAAATACATTGAGGATCACAACATACTCCCAAAATTTCAATCAGGATTCCGTAAGGGTTATGGCACTGCAACTGCTCTCACGGACGTGGTGGATAATCTTTTGGCTGCGCAGGATCTTGGTTATGCCAGTGTGCTATTGCTTCTAGACTACTCCCGTGCTTTTGACTGTATAAATACAACATTGCTTTTATCGAAGCTGGCGTTCTATGGTTTGGATTCGGATGCAGTCAAATGGTTCGACAGTTACCTGACAAACAGGCTACAATATGTGGAGCTTCCAGTGGTCGATGGGACCAAACTTCATTCCCGTTCCCTCCCAGTCATGAGAGGCGTCCCGCAGGGGTCCATTCTGGGACCCATTCTCTTCATATTGTATAGCGCGGATGTGATAGGTTGCATACGTGAGTGCAAGTACCATTTGTATGCGGATGACATACAGATGTACTACTCTTTCAGGCCATCTGAAATCACTACGGCTGAGAACAAAGTGAATGAGGATTTAGCAAGAATCTCAGCCTGGTCCGAATCAAATTGTCTAGTATTGAATCCTTGCAAAACTAAATTCATGCTCCTGGGTAGTAAAAGTAGTATGCAAAAGATCAATAACAGGCCTATATGCATCCATATAGATGGTGTGAGAATAGAGCGGGTTGAAACGGCGAGAAGTCTGGGGCTCACACTGGACAGTCATCTTAAATTCGAGACTCATATCGCGGAGTGTGCCCGTAACTGTTTCTATAGGCTTAAGCTACTATATAATATTAGACAATACTTGTCCGAGAAACTGAGAATCTTATTATGTGAATCGTTAATTCTCTCTAAATTTAATTACTGTGATACTGTTTATGGTCCATGTTTAATGAAAAAGACAGCTAAATTTATTCAACGAGTACAGAATTCATGCGCTCGTTTTTGTTTCCGTATTCCTCCACGAACACACGTTACCCCTTATTTAAACTCATTTTATATATTAAAAATGGAAGCACGTAGGAAGGTCCATTTGGCAGCTCTGCTATTCGGTGTAATCCATTCAGGGAAGCCACAATACTTGTCGGAGAAATTGGAGCGGGCTAAGGGTTACAGCAGGTACCTGAAGAGATCTTGTACAATTTTTTTTCGAACTCCAAAACATCATACTGTAGCTTTCCGTGGATCCTTCAGGTTTGCGGCATCAAAGTGCTGGAATGATCTTCCACCTCCTATACGGGATCTAAGGACAAAGAAAATATTAACCACTAAATTAAAGAAACAATTGATGGATATTCAACAATCACAATCTTAGTCTAAAAACATTTTTTTATCTTTACATTTAACTTGTTAACCTTTTATTTTTAAAGCTTACCTTCTTCAGTCCCGGTGTTTATGTATAGTGGGTGATGAGCGCGGCCAGCACTTGAGGCTATCGAAGGATATGTGGTTACCTTTGCCCGTTGCCTTTCTACCTTTTTTCTCGCTCTAGTCGGGCTGGCTGGGTTCAATGATCTCCTTGTCATTTGTATATTAAAGACTACATTTATTTCAAGAACCACATGTTACTTTCTTTTCTCTCACTTGTAACGTGCGCTTAACTTGTTTGACGAAAAAGATCTCACTACAGAAAGTATTGTATTTTGTAAAATAATAATTGTATTTAATAGTATGTTATTAAATGTAATGTATATAATAGTATTTGTCGCGCACCAAACAGGTCCTGTCAGAATAACAGCGTTGACGCGGCACACATGTGTGTCATGACAACACAAGCTGAGGCAGGGTCCTGATTGACCTCTGTAAATGTTATTATTGTATTGTTTATTAATAGTAGTATGTTTTTTTTTATTGTTATGAATTATTTATTGTGATGTATTTGTTTGTGTAATTGAGGTCAATAAATGTCTCTTCTTCTTCTTCTTCTTCTTCTTCTTAATTTGAGATTCTCGAGAAGAAGATCGCAATCGCTCATTAAGCGAAAAAATATTTTATAACGCGTTGTCGCAATCGCAGAATAACTACATAGCGAAATTCGTGTTACTGCTCTAATGGAAACGTTTACGACGCGTTATAGCAATCGCAGAATAACCGTCATACTCTAACCTTATTAAATATGGTTCAATACGCACAATGATATAACAATAAAAAACGGTAGATAGGTCATGTCAGTACTTATACTATGTCAAAAATTGTCCCCAGTATACACGCACGTAATGGCACGATATTTGGCAATGGGAATTATTCATAGACTACAATTGAACATGTGACAGACCAGACATAATACATGTTTAATGCCTACTTTTACGTAGACTAGTTAAAGACTTCGATCAATAGTTCAACCTAAAAATTTTGATGTCGTATTTTTTAGCTCTGGAGTTAGGTTTCGATGCTCGGTATTCAAACACCGGAGTTTCGGAGTTTCAGTCTCATATAGATTTTTAAATAAATAAGTAAGGTAGATCGTAGTCACTAAAGTCCAATTGTCCGTTCTGTTACTTCCATAATCTTTGACAAATCTTTTTCACAATTTGTAACCTGACTATTAACTCTTTCACTTTATGCCACATTTTTTATTATTAAAACGCAAATCCTTTAAAAATGTATACTTACTAATGAAATGTGACCTCTTGGTCTTAAGATGACTTACTTATGTTTTTTTACAGTTTCGTATAAAACAGGATGGCATTTTTAAAATAATTATGGTACACAAACGCACACAATCAACGCTTTCATCTGACTGTGCTCAGGTATGCTAATTAGCATAGTTTTAAAGTGACTCCTTTTGAATTTAAATAATCTATCTAACCTTTTTATTGTAATATCATTGAATATGTTTCATGGCTTTTCTTCATTGCCATGTTCTTCATTCTTCATTCACACATGTGATAAAATGAAGAAAAACTATGGTTATAACTCGTGGTGAGCGTTTCCTAAAAGCCATAACACGAATTTTGTGGCCACAACGCGTTGTGTACAATTTTTCGACCAATATGCGATTTTG